CACCGTCTCTTTTCATCGGTCGCCTGGGTCCGGATGGGGTTGAAGGGGACGAAAGGTGACGCGACCACGACGTTAGCCACGGTTCACCTGCGTCTTCTGCCCCTCGACGGAGCCAGCTTGTGCACGAGCCCAGAAAATACCCCTTCCGAGGATCCGTTCGTTCACTATGGATATCATCTTCGAGAGGGTTACGAGTATACGGTCCGGGGCCAATTCAACCCTTTCCGGATTTATGGAACATTCGTTCGCGATAGGGGTTTTTAAGGGGGCGCTTTGGTGCAGAGCATGTGGAGCGGAAAAGCAGCGAGAGACGGATTTCATCCGCTTCGTCGGCGAGCCGCTCTTCCTTTCTCTCCACTGGATTTGCTACATCTACTGGATAGCTTTCGCGATTTCTGCTTAGAGACGTTCTCTACGATTTTCTGACTTTTCGGCAGTTTACTCGAAACAGTTGCGTACCGTCAGCTCGAATCAACAATTAGCCGCTTATTTCTTATTCGCGTTCGGAAAGTCGCGCTCAAAATTCGAGCCTACATTTTCGAAAGCACAGCACCGAAAAGTTCTCTGTATCCCGAAGACTCGCTCTTACGAAAAGGAAGAGAAAAAAGAACGGTAACGTGTCCAGCAGTTTGCCAGGAAGCCTGGTCCGTAGGACAAAAGAGCTCCACAGAAACTGGGTCAAACTTCATCGCGTTTACCATGCTGAATTGACCAAATCCGGAATCCATTAGCCCCGGAGCCACCCTCCGAGATTTTGTCTCGCATCCAGATTCCCACGCGTACCGTTCAGCCAAAGGTAAATTCGGTAAAACCCTGCTTTAAACGGGAGCAACAGGATCCACCGGGTTCTACCGTTTTCCCGGTGTTTGCTGACCTCGTAGTCCTTTAGCCGTTAGCCGGTGTTTGCTCGCGCGCCAGAGGGTTCCAGACACTCGAGCAGAAGCCATCTCGAAGGACTCGAGTCGTCGAGTGTCTCATTTTTGTTTGCCGCCACGAGATTTTCCCGACAAAGGGCCAGCCCCGACGGATTAGAGATCTATCCGCTCTCCTCCTCCCGAGCGGATTCCGAGTGCTGTTTGCGCTAATTTTCCTGCTTTCCGTCGACCCACCTTCCTTCCTCGTCGCTCGAGACTACGGTCAAAATTACGGGGAAACACCGAGTTTCGATTGTTCGACCGATTCTGACCGCGGTCGCTTGTTTTCTTTAGGACCTTTCTCCACTTGACTTTGGGATTCAATTTGTTTCTACTTAAGGCACCGAGTGGCCCACTGACTACGACAGCGATCGCGACTCTTAACCCTAGCCTAAGTCCAACCTTAATCTATTCTGGAGCTAATCCTAAAGTAACTTCGAGCCAAATCCAAAAGTAAATTCGACCGATTTCGACTTAACGTCCGAGCAACCTTCATCTAATCCCGATCTAACGCCGACGTAACTGGACTTAATTTCGTGCTTACCGGTAAATAATGAGCTCGTTAGCCAAGCGCGCTTAGAAACTTTCAAGAGGAATTTTTTTCCATCTTTACCCGAGTCTGAAACTGAATTTCCACGATGAAGAGAAGCAGCGATATATACGTCGCCGATATACCTTGACTTCTATGCTCTTCGTAGTCGTGCTTAACGAGATTGAAGCACTTTTCCTTCGTCGACCGAAAATTATAACAAATACCACCTGAAAGTTGATTCAACCGGACAAGTAGAAGCAAAGAGATCCATCGACGCGCCAACAGAGGCGTATCGTCGTCGGTTTTTTCCCTCAATTTAGTCGTTCTTCGCGCCACTTGACCCGACTTCATCAAGAATACTTGGTCTCCGCGTTTAATCCACGGGCGAACAGGCATTCGTCCTTTCAGCGGGATCGGCCGACTCGTTGCATAAAGAAGATCCAGCGACTCCTCGTTTCGAGTGGTTCGACAAAAGCGCAGCCTTTCACAGCCACTCGACGCCTGGCGTCGATATCTCTTGGTCGTGTCGGCCATCGAATCGACCTACACCGTTTCCTCTTCGATTTCTTCGATATTTTCAGATAATTGTCGTTCGTCACCGATTAAGGGCTGCACTCTTTTCGTATCCTCGCGGTAGAACATTCACGGATGCCTGAAATACCGGCTTCTAGGTACGAACGGATTTCGTCAAAGTTGAAGCATCGTTTACAAATACGAACGAAACAATGTCTTCGATAATCGAGCAAATAATTCCGAACCATAATGTATCGACAAATTTCACTTTTACCATCCGTGTGTGTTTAATTCCCGGACATTCGAAGCCAACGGAATATCTATTCTTTCCACGAAGCAGGAAAAACAGAAAATAGAAAAATAATAGAGGTGTTCGTACCGAGAAGTGAATTTTTTCAGGTCACGTCCTGGGCACCGGCAGGCTAGCTCCGAACGAAATTCTTTTTCCAATATCCCGAAAATTAAAACGGAAAACAATCAGCGCAGACGAAACGAAATGAATCGAGTCGAAACCGGATCAATCGTGCCTGGCAGCTTTAATTATCCAGTGTGTCCGGCACGCGCGCGCGTGTATACGCGGCAAATTGCACGCTGTCGCTCGCCGTTCGTGATTTGCTTCACGTGTAACTGCGCACACGACCGTAGTTACACTACTGTACGCGTCGGTTACTCGACACGTCGCTTAGTATTCCATTACCGGAGCTTTTTGCCACGGTGCACGGTTTCCAGTTTAATTTTTCCCGTTTTCCCGCGGAAATTCGCGATGGAAATCGCTTCGAACCGGACTTGCTTGTTAGAGATTGAAAAAATTACAGGAAAATTGCATGCTTTTAAACGCTTCCACTTGAATCAGCTTGTGTTTCGTTAACGCTGTCCGATATTATTTTACATCATTCATAGATTCATAAAAATGTAAATTTAAATAGGTCCTTTTAATTTCTTTTTTTAACAACTATCGTTACCTTAACATAATTTTCTTCCAAATTTTCTTTCGCAACTCGATAACTTATTATACAACGACAATACAAGCGCACACTAGAGCAAATACAAATAACAATTAAAACAGAATGAAGCAACAATGTTCTAATAGAAACGAGTGGATCGGTTTCTTTCTAAAAACGGGTTCAGTCGCGTTGTTTCTTTTTTCGGCGCTCGTCCCACGCGTTGCGTGCACGCATCCGCACACACACGCACACACGCGCTCATTACGGAATCGCGTGCTGCGCGGCGAGGCGTCGTGCGTGTGAGCTTCGACCACGCTCGGGGGCCATTTTGCTGTTCACGTTCGAAGCAACGAACACCGATCCGATTCGTGTTCAGCGCACGAACGTGTCGTGTTCTCGCGAGCGTGTTGCACGCGCCATTGCTGTACACCCTCGCGTTTCGTTTCGTTTCTCCGGTGGTCGGGGAAATTCGGTAAATGGAGGGGTCTTCTCTC